CCTGAGAAATAGCAAACCATTGAGGATTTTGTCTGGTTGCTTCTGCAGCACAGGCTAGTTTTCTTGACAAATACAATTAACTAACACTATGATCAACTGTGAATCTAATCTAATCTTCACAAATCTTGACTCTTCTCTGTATTCAATGATTCTGATTCTGCATATCCTTTTTACTTTTTGGGAGTCATGTAAAATAACAACGAACTATTGGTAGCTATTCAATCAGTCCCCCCTGAGCCAAGCCTCAGTTTGTTGGGGGAACGACTACAAGGAGGCCGGGGAGGAGGCCCATCTGCTCTGTATCCAAGGGAGGCATGTTGCCAATGCCCTCCCTGGGCTTGAAGGAAATAATTGGACTCATTAAGTTGCTTTTCGGTCTTCTTTTCTTTAGTTGAAATAACCCTTAGGTTAATTAGACATGATTTCTAGCCTCGGGAAATTTTTCTGCGTGTGGTTAGTAATGGAGAAAATGGTCATAAACTCAATAATTAAATTTTCAGTTTTGCAAATGCAAGAGAATGGCAAAGTACCTGTAAGATGTCTTTAAAAATCAATAGCCCTTGTGAAACTAATATCTTATATCAATAATTCCAGAAGTATTAGGTGATAATCAAGATGCTTCTGTTAGGGTAACAAAACAGTTAATCCCAGTGTGTGCCTGGCCAACGGTGCCATTCATTAACAGACAGAATCACATAGCGCACTTGCTGCTCAGCCCTGGCTGCACATATATCTGGCTTTGTTTTTAAAATGTTGTTGCCTGGACCTAATCCCAGAGCAATGGAATAAGAATCTCTGAGTCATTCCAACAGCCAACTGGGGTTGAGAACTGCAGGTGAAGTGAACAAGAACAGTATCTAGAGTCCGAATTTGAGTTTTGATACTCCATCTTTTTACTAATCGTGTAACTTCAGACAAAGCATGTAGTGTCTCTGGACTTCAGTTGTTTTTACCCATGCAGTAAGTATAGTAATATTCTCCCTGTCTAGTTTCAAGCACAATTTTGATACTAGAAAAAACATATGTATAGAAGTGCTTTCTAAATTATAAAGAGTGAAAATACGCTATTTTCCTTATTACCACGGACACATAGACATGATTCAATTCCATTTCTAATCATCTCATTAAAGGAGTATGAAATAAATGAGTTAGTAAATTACCCACTTGGGTATCGGTGCCCAAGAGAGGACAAAAAATCCAAATGGAGTGATTTTGCTGGCAGACTTCTCCCTTCCACTCTGATGGCCTGTATTTCTACAAAGAAGAAGCGTTACGACATTTTGATAAATTACCATTCAGTGGCTCCATTCAGGACATAGTACGGATAGTGATATTGTCAGAATTGCTGCTACCTTTGTGAGCTGACTCTTTCCCACTTTTCTCTAGGTATTTACTACTCTAAAGATCATACATCTAAATTCAGACCCTGTAAAGGGCAGAGGCGGGAAAGGAGTGTAACACGGGCCTTCCAGAGTGCTGAGATTATAAGCATGAGCCACCATTTCTGGTCTAGGTTTGAGTCTTAACGTTATTATTTGCTAGTTGTGTAAACGCAGGTTTTGTGACCTGGGTTCTGTGACCTTATAGAGCTTACTAAATCTTTATTAAGTTCTTATTATTGCCAGACAATTTGCACAGAGGAAAGAAGACCATTTTTTAAAGCCCCTACCCAAAGAGCTCACTGTCCAGAAGGGGAGAACAACAAAGGTGCAATCATGTTTACCTTGAGTGTCGTTTTGTAATTACGCCAGCCCAGTGCCTGGCAGAAAAGCTGTTCAGTAAATGGTAATGAATATTGTTATCATCCATTGTCTTGGGCATGCTGGAGGCACAAGCCATGGGATGTGAACCCAAGCTCTCAGCCTAAGATCTGGCAGTGGCAGGTCTCAGCTTATCTAAGCTTTCCTACCCCTGGCCAAGCTCTGGGCTGAAGGAAAGCAGAGACTTCCTTTGAGTATAAAAACGCATTGCAGAGCCTGCCCTTGACCTCAGCCATCCCTGCTGTTGGACTCATTCTAAAGCCAATCTATGGCTTTGAGTTTTCTCCAGGACTGACAGGGCATGATTCCAGATCACGATTTCAGAACACATCCTGGCCAGTAGGGAGCTGCCTGAGTTATCCTCAGGAACACCCTGGTCTCCTGAGAATCTGCCCAACCAAAATTCCTGGGAGCAGGGCCAGACTCACTCAGGCATTTTCTCGTCTTGCTAGGGAATGAGCTTTGAGTCAGAACCTATTCCAAGTTGAGAGGTGAGTAGATGCTCACCCAATATCAACAAGCTCTCCCACCCATGGCTTTCTTTTGTAGGTTCATTATATCAAAATTAATGGAACATATTTTTTGAATCACAGAGATTTATCTATGTAGTAAGAAAATTTTAATATCTGACCATTCACTTTAAAGAACATAACCATTATTAGCTTTTGACATTAATTAATGGCATTCTACCATGTTTTCAGGAGACTCTGCCAAGCTAGAGCTTGAATCTGCTCATCTGCTAAAACATACAAGTGTTTGTAAATGAAAGCAAAATCAAAATTAAGAAATTCTCTCCAGTAAAAGAAAAATGGATAAATTGAGTCACAATTTAAAAGCATTTTTAAATGTTTTCTTTTTCTGTTTTCGAGCCTGACCTCAAATGTGCCCATTTACTTATCTGAAGATAATCAGCTACATCACTATAAGTTCAAAATTCATGCTTTGAAAGATCATTTTTCATTATAGCTAATTAAAAATGCACCAAGGGTCAGAATGTTATTATAGGTTCTAAGCAGTTTAAAAAAGAAGGGCTGGCTGATGGAATCACCTGCCGTGACATAGCACCTATTTACTTGTTTCTCATAGAGATACTTTCTGAAAAATACACCAACCTGGGCTATTTAGGACTGTGACATATAAATGAGGTTCTGTGCCAGACCAAACTTTATTTATCCTCCTAAACTTTCCCCTAGGCCCATTAGTTCACTTCCTCGTAACATAAGAACCCTGCTACATTAGTTTAGCAAATACACCTCACCCCAGTATTTGATCATCCTTGATATCTGATTATCCTTAGTATCTAATCTGGTTTCTCATCCTCCACCATCCCCAAAGTGATGTCTGAGTACCCTGCCCTGTCTTCAGCAACAATCTCATTAGGTAGCCTCAGCCAAAATTCTCCCTTATCCTTGACGATTCTCTTTGCAATTTTGCATCCACTGATGCCATGCTGCTCCTTGGATATCAATTCCCATTTGCCTCTGCTCTATTTGAAGTTGAGCCCAGAATCTCTCCCCCACTGCAAAATGTGGTTGCAGCGGTCTCTACACCTGTGATATCGTCTAAATAGTCTGCCTTACCACACTTTAACAAGCATCACTGAATAACTTTTTTCTTTAAGACGTACATTGGGTGAGATCATCTCAATAGCCTTCTACATTGGAAAAGCTGTAAAAAGTGTTCGACTCAAAATAGTAGCATTTGGTTGAAGATGTTTTCTGTCTTTCTCTGCTCATTTTTCATCTTCCTGGAGGGCCCTCCTTCTCTGCCTCCCCCACCTCCCCTCCTCTGCTATTCTTTACCCCTCTCACTTGTCTCCACTCATGACAAGAAGGAGTGCCTCCACAGGGGCCAGTACATCAAGCCATGACACCAGCAGTCTCATTCCCTCCGACAGACGTCAATTTAAAAGGCAAGAGAAGATTTCAAGGCAGCGGTGAGGGACGTGAATGGAATTAGTCATCATTACCCTGAAGCAACATGGGCTCGCTGTAGCAGTTCCCTCATCACGCTTCTCATGACTGTGCCCCGAGGATCACCCCCATCACTTTAAATAGTCATGACACTGCCAATGTATGGGTTAAAATGATGAGCAGGAGAGACAGGCAGATCCCAAAGTAAATAGACTGAATTAGAGGCATTACAACAGTTAATATGTCAGGTCCCTGTAGAGAGGCCACAGATCCTGTGTGGTCTATTTCCCCTGCATATTGAAATTGATTGTGCCTTGGGCAATGGCAGGGCCGATGTGGGGAGGGGAGCTGACGATTCATCCTTCCCCTCACATGGATCAAAGAAAGCAGACAGTGTTATGTGGAATTAGTTGCTCTGAAAGTGCTGGGAATAGAATAGTGAAAGAAGCCATGAGTGTTAGGCAGTGTTTCCCCAGGCCACACCATCTAAGGAGCATAAGTAAGGTCATAGTCTTACGAAAATCATGTTTCTTAGGCAAAACTGCAGGGCACTATACCCTCCTTCTTCCAGCCAACTGTTCCAGCCAGCCAACTGTTCCTCAAAACCTCAAGGGATGCCTCCTGTATTTTTTAACATAGTCCTCTTGGTCACCACCTCTGAGGTTCTCCTCCTCCCCATCTGCTCGCTATGGTGGTATCTATCTGGCGAGGCTGCCAAGTCCTGAGCTAGTCCCTAATGCCAAACACGAAGGGCATTGGTGCCACTGTGATGTTGTTGGCACTGACCCCTGGCACCTATAATGTCACAGAGAGTCTCAAGTTAATGCTCACAGGCCTGGCACCAATATTCTTAATCCACTTGGTCCCTTCTTAAACTCAAAGCAAATTCAATGCCATGATAACTTCAATGAAACTGATCTTTGTGTTTCCATTTCCTCATTACTGCCACCCACCTCTTCCAAGCTGTAGTCAAGACTATGCAGTGACTGGTTCAGTGGCTGGTCTGGGTAATTGTTACTGCCCTGGTTCAGGGTCTCCTGAAATAGACTAAGAAGGACATTTGTGTGCAGGATATGTAGTGGGAGTACACTCAAGACTGACAATTGAAAACAACAACAACAAAGAAAGAAAAGGAAAGAAAGAAAGAAAAAGAGAGGGAGAGTGGGAGGGAAAAAGGAAGGAAGGAAGGAAGGAAAAATAAAAGAAAAGAAAAGAGAAAAGGAGAGAGAGAGGAAGGAAGTCAGGAAGCAAGGAAGTCAGGAAGGAAGTTAGCAAGGAAGGAAGGAAAGAAGGAAGGAAGGAAAGGCTGGACATGATGGCTCATGACTATAAGGCAGGAGGATCACATGAGCCCAGGAATTCAAGAACAGCCTAGGCAACATAGTGAAACTCCTGTCTCTATAAAAAAAGTAAGTTAAACAAACAAACAAACAAACAAACAAAAAGACTGACAATTGTGTGAGGGGAGATAAAGGAGCTGATAGGGCAGAAGGAAAAGAAGATGAACATCTGAAGGGGAGGGAGGCAGCAGGGTTGGGATGAGGAAGCAGACTAATTGTGAGGAGGTTGCAACAAAGGACGTCTCCGATTGCATTGGGAGATCTGGAGCTGGCCTGGCTCCTCAGTTGTTTGCCATTGAAGCAAGGAGCTAGAATTTGTACTCCCTCATCATGTAGTTATGGGATGTGGATTGTCTCAGGTAGGAGACATAAACTTGAGTAAGGTGGTTCTTTTCAATGAAAGGCAAGTCCCAAAATAATTCAGGTGGGAGTGGTCTGTAGCCAACTCTGTGAAACAGGGGGAATGAGTACCTTGGTCTTCAAGGGAGATCTGGCTAGTGCACTCTTCATCTCTCTGCCTCTTATTTTCCCTATAAACTTTTATTGTTGATCTTGGCCCAACACTTTTCCTCTTCAGGTTGAATTATTTTTAAAGAAGATTCTTAAACCAAGGCAAGCCCCTCCCCTCGGTTCTCTTTGAACCCTTGGATAAATGATTGCCAGCGCTCATAGTTGGACCACTGCCATAAGCATAATCAAAATATGTCTCATTTAAATCCTAGAAATAAAGGCAAGGAGCTTGTATAACACAAAGCATGTGAGACCTGAGTTCCCCTCCACCTGTCTCACCTCTTAGGTGACATTGAAGGATTACTCCACCCCACAACCAGACCCTGCCTCTTAAATGTAAATTCAGATTAACTAGTTTCTAAGGTCATTTTCCAGTTTTAGATTTATCCAACCATGTGCTCATGGAGACATAAAAGTAGCAAATGGCATGATTTATGTCTTAGAGGATATTGAAACCGTTAATGAGGCAAAATAAAGCAACTAAGAAAAAACTTAAAAACTAGAATAATGAACCATAGCTAATACATGAAAATTCCAAAATGTTTGCCAGAGGCAATTGCTACAGAGGCAATTGATACTAAAGCAACCGCTTTTTTTTTTTTTTTCTGTAAAGGGATAAACAGCCAATAGTTTCAACTTTGAAGTCATACATGGCCTCTACTGCAACTAATTTCTATTGTTGTAGTGTAAAAGCAACATGATAGTGGGCCTAGTAGAAATGGCAAGACAGGGTGGGATTTTATATAAATTTGAAGTCAAAGCAAACATGTTTTCCTGATGGATGGTGGCAAGGTGTAAGGGAAAGAGAAATGAAGGCTGAAGTTGACACTTACTGACACAGAGAAAAACACTGAAGCAGGGTTAGGAGTGATGACCATGAGTTTGCTTTTGACAGGATGAATTTGAGATGCCAGCTGACCTCCAGTGGGAGATGTTGAGGAGGAGCTGGACATGTGAGCCTTGAGTTCACTGGGAAGGTCTGGGCTGGAGTTCTAATCTGCAGATGCACAATGTAGAAATGGCATTGAAGGTCATGAGATTAAGAGATAATCAAGAAAGTGGATATAGAAAAATAAGAGAAGTGGTTGAAGGACTGAGCCCTGGGGATCCCTGACTGAAACTCAGAGAGATAAAGAAGGACAGGCAAAAAGCACATTATACACTGCTTTCCCTCTTAGGAACAGTCACATTCTGGAAGCACCTTCTGGGTGACGAATGGTCCCTGAGAGCCTCAACCAGTGCTCTCCTCTCTTTTCCTAAAGCCAATTGTCTTCTACTCTAGCTTTCTGGCTGTTTCATCTAGGCCTGCTTTTCTATTCCCAACATAACACTCATAGTGATCATGCTGTGTTTTGCTCAAAAACTTTAAGTTTGCATAAAAGGCAAATTTTTACAATAGTTGATGAACCCCTCCACAACTGTGTCCTCTACCCTCCGGCTGGTCATTACCTCTCTCTGACCTCATAACCTTATTTCCAACCAACTCCCAATGGTAGGCACTAGGCTTTAAAAATTATGAGTTCCAGGAAGTGAGAAAGATCTAATTTTATGTTTTTGAAGATGACTTTCCTGGTACCAATGCACTATTTTGTTTTGGGTTTGTATTCTACTATAGAAAGGAGGTAGGGGCACCAACTAGCTTCTGTTGACAGTGTTCATCAAACTGCTGATTTAATTTGAATTAAGATGAAAGAAAAAAGAAAAAAAAAAGAAAATTAACACATTTGGGGAAGTTATTTCTGGGCTAGAGGAGACTTATTTAGGAGCATTCAGTTTCAGGATCACATTAGAAAAGAAGCAGGCAGGGTGGAAACTGAGAAACCATGTGTTAACTTCTGCTGTAGAACATGTTTGCATCCTGGTCAGTTCCACATGGCCAGGTAACTTAGTTGAAGTCACTGTGGGCTTTCTTCTTTTGGGAAAAATTAGGGCACAGATTGTGGCTTTAGATGCATCTCATTTTGAAGAATTAGCAGGCCCACCTGGGAGGTGTGGGAAGCTTAAGCAAATAAAAGGCATGAAAGTGTTATAATGAGTGATTCTGAGGTAAAAATGAAAATCTGAAATTTTATGTGCAAGTTCCCAAATTTTAAGTATTGACTATTTATTTATTTATTTTATTTTGTTGACTAATTATTTCAAATAGTTTTCAAATGTAGCGACAGCCAAAAATACACACATATACACTTACGTACACACATCTGTGGAACACCACAGCTCTCCCAAGAGCAAAGAGTATATCTTACAAATGATAAATAATTTTCTAGCAAAACATCATGATAAACTGTCAGAGAAACTGCTATGTCTTGGCAATAAAATTTCCTGCTTAAAAACAATAATAATAAAGGCAATAAAACAGAAGAAACCCCATTAGCTAGTGCCATGATGCTGTTACTATAGAATTTTAAGAATCAACCTTAAAATTGATTCATTAAAATTTTTATGGCATGGGGACCTTCTTTTTACCATGGAATCACCAACTCAGTAGTTAACCTTTCCTATGTTCATGTGAGGCTAGTCTTATCATGAAACCAAATTTAAAATAAGATAAAGTAAAACAATAATGAAACCCTAAAGCCCTCACAACTGGGATTCTGGAACATCTTTGCATTCTTCTCCAGATATGAGTGAGAGGAACTGACCTAAGTCAATTTGGTCCTTCAGAAATCTTGAAATATTTTGGTGACTAACAGAAGAGATTACGGATATGTGGAAGCCCTAAGGTCTTTCTGGACGGTATTTTATACTGAAAACAAATCTTAGACCAGACTACAAGTAAGCAGGCACAACCCATTTTAGTAAGTGTACAGACATCTGCATTCTGTCTTCAGGTCCTTTCACAAACACCAACTATGAAGGGTTCACTCTTGGGTAAAAGGCAGAATTCTGAGAACCCAGTCTTAGCCAGTATCTAGTTGGGTGAGTCCCAAGCATTCTTTAGAAATGTCCAAACAGAGCAAAGGCCTGCAGCATTCTCCTACCTTTCTTAGGCAAGGGTTTTGGGGGCTGAATAGTTTTTCTGGCCAAATATATTATGAACACTCTTTTTACTAGTGAAAAAGTATTCCTTATATTAATAAATAAAACCAAAACATGTCATTAATGATATTTGAAAATCTTACATGGCAGTCTCTATGTATGGATTATTGACTAGTGTTCTTCAAATGCTAGATAATCCTTGTGATAGGAATTCCAGAGTATGGGTCTTCAAATATAAATAGGTCCTAGAGTGTATATTACAATGAATTGATACATCAGTACACTATATTTATTTATAAAAAGCATATTACATGGACATTATGACAGTGGTCCCCTATTTCATCAGCAAAGCACAAATACCTTCTTATTTTGGTTTTCTACCATCAGCACATATATAATCCCAAACACTCATGTCACTGAAGACTTGACAATACTGACTCAGAGAATCTTCTTCATCACAGAAAATCTCCTCTTTGAAATTGGCATGAATCTTCCAAATCCCTGATCCTACCTATCAGCAAAGATACTTCTCTGTCCTCTGTGAGCTACTGTATTCTTTATAGCTAGATAAAAAATACATACTGAGGGAATGTGTTCTCTTTCCGGGTCCACAAGGGTGCGTAGTTTTAAGGGCAAGAACTTCCCAGTGCCATGCCCTGCTCCCATCTCTCTCCATCTGAGAGATTTAATGGTTTATGTTTAAATTTCGTAGTGTGGGAAGAAACTAAGAGTCAATCACCCCAGCAGAAGTTTAAAGGAACTCCTTTCATTGGCCACAGGAACTGGGGGAGGTGGGAATTTCTCCCAGGATAAATTCCCCTCCTCCTTCACCCACACCGGATTTCCAGCTCTCTGGAATCCCCTCCCACAGGGGGAGCTCTGTTCACCTCCTGGATTTTACCCCTCTGGGGTCCCCTTCCACCCAGTGTGGAAGCTGCTTTCCTCTCCTGTATTCCACCTTTCTGGATTCTCTCATTCAGTGTGAGAGGGGCTTTCCTTCTCTGGTTTTCCCCCTCTGGGAACCTTTCTCACTCAGTGTGAGAGCGGCTTTTCTTTCTCTCACTCAGTGTGACAGCTAGCTGTTTCTTTCTCTTTCCTTCTCCTTTTTCCCTCTCTGCTTAAATAAATCACTTTCTACAAACATTTTTGAGTCCGGTGTTTACTTTCAGGAGTGCACTGCGCCATGGTCTCCTCTCCCATTCTTGGGGAACCTGGAGAAATGTCCTCCCAGGGGAACTGAGGGCTCCCCGAACCCCTGAACCCCAACAATACTATACATCTATATTTATGAAGATTAAAAAGCAATCAAAAGGTCAGTTGTGCATTATATTTATCTATATCTTGCTTTTGTTGAAGTATTCTATAAGTTAAAACTATGACACATAATAAATTGAGAAGTTTTCCACACATTTTTAATTTTTTTTAACTTTTACTCTTTTCATCAGTTCCAAAAAATATTGTGATCAACGTTTTCATTATCACATTCTTTATCTTGTGGTTTGCTTACCTC